GTGAGTGTGGGTGTGGGTGTGTGAGTGTGGGTGTGGGTGTGTGGGTGTGTGGGTGTGGGTGTGGATGTGGATATGGGTGCGGGTGAGGGTGTGGGGGTGGGGGTGTGTGAGTGTGGGCTATACTAAAATGAATTAACACCAACCCCCCCACCCCCAGCCCCAGCCCCACCCACACCGACACCCACACTAGTACCCACACCCACTCAAACCGACACTCACACCCACGCACACCCACACCCCAGGCTCACACCCATGCCCTCTTCTGTACGCCTACTGATCCGTCAAAGTCATCCTTTCCATGAATACATCGTTTTTGAGTGTGTTTACGAAGTAACTCGAATATCTATCGAAAACGTTCGAATCATAGAGTTAACAAGAAGAAACATGAAATTATGATGAGTCCCAATGAACACAAAAAATTGACTCAAATGGCAAGGAAACGAAGAGAAATGGAGGCATTTTGCCAAACAGGTTGACAGAAATGAGTCGAATTCAATGAAAGTCTGCGAGAATAGAATGGTAGTAGTGAACAAAAAGGAAAATGCCGAGTAAAGATGAGTAAAACACAAAAAAATGTCAAAAATTCCAGCAGAACGAGAAGAATCGTACAAAACAAGCTTTGATGTGATAAAACAAAATTAATTCGGTATGTGATGAACTTCACTTGCAGGATAGTGCTAAGGCACTTTGGTAAACATCACTATTCGATTATTTCCATATTCGCAAACATACAAATTCATGTTGGAATCAAAAGCAACATCAAGTGGCTGGTTGAGTCCACTTGCAACAATAGTGCCAACTGAACCGGCCGAAAAACCAGCACAAAACATGACGATTGTTCCACCACCATCATCAACTACGTATAAGTTGCCATACGTATCGAATCGAAGACCCCATGGGTAGATTAAACCACTTGAAACCATCACTGTACCGCTGGTTGAACCCTGCGGATAACGAGTAACTGTATTGGCTGTATTACTCGTTGCGTAGACATTGCCCGACGCATCCGTTGTGACGCGAACAAGTCCACTCAGAGGAATTATCAATGAGCTGGTGTTGCTGAAAAAGGGCCAAAGCATGATTCTGCTGTTCATCAAGTCGGCCAAATAAATTTGGCTATTGCTCATATCCACAGCCATATTAAAAGCCTGATTAAATGAACTGGATGTGCTGCCCTGAACTCCAGTGCCTGCAATAGTAGATCCTCCACTTGCACCGTTTATCCATTGAAGAATACGCAAATTCCACATATCAAGAATGTACATATTCAACGACGAGTCAACATAAATAGAAGTGGGATAATTGAGTAAACTGGCTGTCCATCCGAGAGTCCCATTCGCACTACCGGCAACAGTGGTGCCCGACGTATCATTTGAACCCCATCGTTGAATACGATGATTGAAATTATCGGCTATGTATAACAAATTATTTCGATCGATGAAAATCCCCCGGGGTCTACTCAATTCAGAAGCTGCTGATCCTGCTGTTCCATTGTTGTTGCCCGCAACTGTTTTTCCAGTGGAATTCCAACGAAGACTACCTTCAATAACAGAACACCTTTGATACAGTCAAACGATCAATCGGAACTATTATTCGTGCATGAATCTTCTGCTTAGTCTTCGTGATTGACTAAACCAAAACGGTGCACAATTTATTGCTAGGAGAGGGGGAGGAGAAGCGGACCTTTATACTTGAAGTTATTTTGCGCTACTTTAAAGTACTTCGAAGAAATTTAACTTACTTCGACTAAATTTAAGCTACTTCACACGTACTTTGGACCACTTCAAGGTACTTTGAATACTTCGAAGTACTTTGAACCACTTCAAACTACTTTAGCCCAATTTGAACTACTTTAAGCCACTTTCAAGTACTTGAACGTACTGCAAAACTTCTCAATATAACTGTAAGCACACATTTAGACACTAGGCTAAGGATCGGTTTGTCGTTGCTAATTAATAATATAACATACAAAAATCAATGTATCCGAGAGAAAAACAATACAAATTATAGCATTACACAAACATTTCAATGATTTATTTAAAAAAAAGCTGTTAGCGCAATCTCTGTGGGATTCAAATGTGAAACACGATGGAGCTGCTAACACTGTAAAAGTGGAAACTCAGGCTTCTGCCATGATCTGTGATGGTCTGTTGTTAAGGCGTTCATCACGGTCTGTGGTGCTCTGCTGGTCCTATCTGGCACGTCTGTATCGGGAGGTGGGTAGTGGGTCCAAATTTCTATCCCCTTACTTCAACACTCATTTTACGTCGTTTTTCACAAAAATATAAAACCAAAAAACATTGACGATCACATGCGAGTTACAACCAAGAGAAAAGGGTGCAGTCCTGGAATCCCGGAATTCTGTGGCGTACGATGTTATTCGTCGAATTCCAGGATTCCAGAATTTCAGTATTTCTCGCTTGCGTAGATGGCGTCGCTTAATAGACTATGAAAAGCATACTAGGAGTCATTCCACGCGAGCGACTACCTACACTCTAAAAAACATCGGTTTATTACAGAACCTGCGCCCGCGGGAAGAACCTTTGACGTTTCGTACGAACCCACCGAACTTAAAAAAGATTTGAACAAGTTTGCGAAACCATTTTTAAGTTCGGTGGGTTCGTACGAAACCTCAAAGGTTCTTCCCGCGGGCACAGGTTCTGTAATAAACCGATTCTTTTTAGAGTGTACGTTGCTCAATGATTTTCACCAATTTTGATTTTAATTGCACAAATAGATAGTACTACTAAAGTTATGTATATGATTTAATTCGTATCAACCAACGCTAGCAGTCACGGGGCATATTATTTTTCAAAATAATTATTTTGAAAAATAATATGCCCCGTGACTGCTAGCGTTGGTTGATACGAATTAAATCTTTATTTCTCAGCAATGAAAATGTGTTGAACTTTGAAAATAATATCATATACATAACTTTAGTAGTACTATCTATTTGTGCAATTAAAATCAAAATTGGTGAAAATCATTGAGCAACGTATATTGGTTCCGGTCATGGTTCTTGTGCAATGGTTGCTAGGAATCCAGATTTTAGGATTCCGCTCTTTCCCTCTTGTTAATGATTCTTCGTGAACAGTAAATAACACGATTGAGGAGTTTGGATTAAGCAAGGATAATGAGGATAATAATAGTTTAAATTATGCACAAGACCAACCTATTGATGAAACTCTATTTGATTTTCAAAACGACGCTGATAGTGATGCTGACGAAGACATATTAAATTCAACAAAATCCAATTTTAATGGAATAAGAATAAGTAATAATATTAATCGAACTGTAAGATAGTCGTGTTTCGAAGTCAAATTGAATGAGAACATTAAGTATCTTCAGAAAGAATCGATCTGCTGGCTAATATCGAACAAGATAAGGAAATTATCTAGTGTCATTTATCTCGTGTCATGCAGCAAACAGCTGATAATAATTATTGTAATAAACTTACTGCTCTCGTTTTTTTATCTTTTAGTAATCATTAATGTCTTTTTAAAAGTAAATAAGGGAGTCGTTCATATTTTTTCAACGTGATTTAATTTTGTTTCATGCATTTCCAGATCTTTAGGGATACTTTAAAGTACTTTGACGTAATTCAAAGTACTTCTAAATACTTTGAGCTGCTTTCACACACTTTGAAGTCCTTCGCGATACTTTAAACTGCCTCTGTACTTTGATATTCTTTTCTGCTTGAAGTTCGCTTGTTCCCCCCAGATTTATTCTCAGCAAATAAATCTGCAACAGAAGCGACTTGTTTTTGAGGAAATCAACTAACTCAATTTCGAACTGAAACTCTGGATGTCTGACAACTGACAAGCATTAAAATAAAAAGAACTGCTCAAAAAGCTAAAAGTTCACTTGGACAAATGGAATGACTCACATGAGTTGAATGTTGTTATCATAGTACTGGTCGAGGTTGACAATGACGACCCATTGGAGATTGTCGAACTTGTAGATACTATAACAAAGAAGTGACATGTATCCATTCAATCCCAATACTTTATCATATCCTTTTTGTCAAAGATTTGAGCATTCGACCTCGTTATTGAGACTAGTTTTGCTTTGTTCGCAACAGAAATAGTCGAGAGAAAATCGTCGATTTTTACCCATGATTACTTCAAATGATCTCCCGTCAATTCAATATCGTTTATCCAGCAGAATATCCTGTCAGTGTTTGCTACGCTTTTTCTATGAAGAAGAATCACACGGAATGATAATGGAGACGACTACCGTAGACGACAAAATCGTTCCCAAAGATAGAGCAACTTTCCATCTCTGTGACACGTCACGACAGACATCATTCAAGATCAGAGAACCGCGTCAATAGAATCAAATGACTTCGATTGACTTTTGATAGATAGAAGATCTTTCATCTTGGCCTAGACTTTCATCCCCTACGACGTCATCTAAAGAAGTTGTCGCGAATGCATCATGACGATACTCATCACGTCAATTGTGATTGAACAAAACCAAGAGAAACGAAAGCAAATGATGAGAATATATTTCGATCGGAATTGGATTATGAAAAGAAAAAAATGACAACCGGTGTCTTTCTTTTTCTCAATTCGTCTATTTCGCAACTTCGAGTTGCACATTTCTCTTCTTGTTGGTTCTCTGAGACAGTTCTTTTCAAAGATTTTACAATGAAATCATTGTATTGATTTTGTCTATCTATTAATAAATGTCTATCTCGGGAATTCTGCTTGACAAAATAGCGACACTAGAAGGTCTCGATGTTAAGATTATCTGCTGAACATACAGTTTTCAGCGGTGTTTTCAACAAAACTGTTGTTTCGATTATCAAATAGAAGCAATGGAACAATAATCGCCACAAGCATCAATAGTAACAAAATCAATGAACATCCCAGAGCTAGTCTGCATTTTGTACTCAACCTATATGAGAGAAGTTAAATTCGCCTTTGCAATCGGAGTTCAATCACCTAGTTGTCGTGCTTTGCACAGATGGAATTTCCTTCAAATCGATGTTCGTTCGTTTTGTCTTTTTAGCCGTCTAAAAGAAACGATGGGCGAAAATGTGTATCTTGCATCAAATAACGACAGACCTTTTTCATAATACTTCGGCCGAAATGAAGGAGAACAACTTCTCATAGAGTGGCAAAACAAAAGTGAACCGTTGTCGACGGTGTGCTGACTCAACAGAAGAAAACTGAGCTCGGGCGAAGTATGAAGTATGTGATTATTAGTTCGTTAACGTACTTCGGTTGAAGAAAGGTTTCGAATAACATTAGAAGAACAACTTCGCCGTTTTGTTTCTATTCATCATTTCTTTCGTGCGCACTAGAGCTTAATCATTTGGAGTAATTTTGTTCGTTTGTTTGGAGAAATCAAAATGTGATCGATTCAAATGCATGTTTGTGTTTTACATTCATTTGTCGTCAACGAAAACATCCGAACACAATTTTTATCGCCTTGATCAAATCGGCCTGTTTTCTTGATGATTTATTCACAGCATTTGTGGACACCACTGGAACATGTTCAGCATGAAACGGTCGATTTCGGAGAAGAGACCTGAGGCTAGATGGAGCGTCTAAATTGATCGTTTTTTCAAGTACGACATCATCTACTTGGATGGGTGGGATAAGAGGTCACTTTTGATCCGATAGGTTTCTGTTAGTGAGTGCAGCAGTGTGGCTAAAAGACAAACTTTTAGTACAAACAGATGTATTTAGGAGTCGTCCGCGCTTTTGTCGAACTTCGTCGCAGTTCATGGTAACGTTGCGGATAGCTTCGTGAAAACCGATGCAGATACGAGAGAAAAGATCAGTTACTCACCGGATCTCTACAGTTCAACGAACGACTGCCCAAAGAGACGTTCCGAGCAGCGAAAGCCAAGGATTTGGGTGTGAGTATTGTTGAATTGAAGCTTGACACCCTCACCCATACACCCACACACCCACAACCACACACTCCACCCATCCTTTTATGCTATAAAAGAAAAACTAGTCATTTGAACATGTCTAGTGAATATATGATAAAGCTAAGATAGTGTTGAATTAATTTCGAGTTTTTTTTTCGGTCATACAAACTATTGACAAGAAAGATGACTAAATTTTAAAATAGTAGACTGTTGGTTTTCGGAGTTTAACAATCTGAATATGTACGAGACAGAGACCAAAACGAGTCAGAAAAACAACTAATCGACTTGACTCAAAAACAAATTTTATTATTATTCTTCTATCACTGATTCTCAAGACAATAGAATAACGAAAACCGACGATATAAGGATAAGAAGATAATTAAAACCTTCCTGATTACTTTTCAACTATTTTGGAAGCTGGGGAGAACTCTACAGTGCATTTAGTGACTGAACAAGGAACGATGAATGTTGGAACAAACGTGAGCCATTGTAGGAGAAAATAACTGCGTATTTAGCATAGCTGTCACATATGTTGTTATAAGTCAGCCGTGACTAAGAAGAGTGTATGCTGTCTCATGCATTCGCTAGAGAAAGAACTAACTATTATCTCCATCCTCTCTCTTAAACTACTAACTTAAAAATTGTTAGTAGTAACAATAACTTATAACTTGAAAAATTTCGGTAGCTACCCCATCGAATAGATTGTTGAGATAGCTTCTTTTCAAGAATAAATTCTGAAATTATTTTGTTCTAATTATTTAGCCATTTCGTAAAATTGTCAAGATCAGCTCAAATTCTGAATTGCTGGTTAATCCGAATAACTAGAAAATTGACAAAAAACGGGCAATTAATACTAAAGAAATCAAAGCGCAACAGTGTATAATCAATAATGACCGAAGTAGAAGACAAACTAGTGAAGAAAGTAGTATCATGTTTACACCAGTCGAACTCGTGAACGTATGAGAGTCTGAACGTTTGCAGATCAGAAGCAGCAAAAGTCTAGCGAACAATGAGAAATAAATAAGTTTCCCTGCCTTCCTCAAATTGATCGCTGTTCTGATAATCGAATCGAGTTCTCTCTAGAGTCAACTGATGAAATCTATCAGCAGTGTCTAAAAAGTCGAGTTCTTTGAGTCTGACTCGACTCGATTTCGGTCTCTGGTAGAGAATCTATTCGCGTGCGTGAACAACCGTTTCGAGAAATTTTCGAAGACTTATAGATGCCAAGGAAAATTTTTTGTAGAATAGTAGGTGCCCTACAATATACATCACACGTGTATTTTCAACCTTTGAGAAAATGCACACTTGTTCAAACTTTAGTTCTGATTTCATTGAATAGAGAAGTTTGTTTTTCAGAAATACTCTTCATGGATATATATAGTTTATGTGATTGAAGTATATTTGTGTTGCTTAACTGCGAGTACCTTTTTTTCTACAAATAAAAAACGATTTATGTAAGCCTGTGCTCATAAATATTGATGCTCAAAGCTAATTATTGTATACTCAAAGATAATGAGTTTATTGGTTTACATGCTGGCGACCTTAGCATAGTTGTGAATTTTGTTGTTCGAGAAGAAAAACATTTCGAACTAAAGCCTCAAACAATTTTCGAGTATATTGTGAAAAACTAATCTTATCATAAGTAAGAATCGTTTCATAAGATGGTCATTTCTCATATCATGTTGTATAGAACTTAATTCTGAACAAAACAGTAGATGTGTTCACATGTACAATTGAAAACTTTAAACTATTCTGAATCAATAGAAAATCATAGCTGAAATTTTTATGGATTCAATCGTTATCCAGTATTCCAATATTTTTCTTCCAATGTTTTTGATTTATCTTTCTAACACTTTGAATATCATACGAAAAGAAATCGAAGATTCTGTGTAGAATATTGTAGCATATTTTGAATTCATCCGATCTATTTAGCAAAAATTCTCTATATTTTTTTCGATTATAACACTTATCTTTAAATGTTTTAAAGACTAAAAATAAAACTCGATTATCTATTATAGGATATCCGTTGTTTTTCCATATCATAGAAAAATGAAACTTATCATTTTAGCGGCAGAGTCTGCAACTCTGCTTTCTTTCGACAATTATTTTTTTTTATATAAAATCTATCACGAAATAAAAGTTTTTATAGTGTAGATTTGTGAAACATTAAGATCATTGTATAATGTAAAAAAATTCCTAAATATTAGTCGGAAATCTAAATTAGTCTTACCTCAGTCAATAGAACTCGACAAACTGGTCACTGTAATGGTAAAATTTTTTTCTCCATACTATTTTCTTCTAGTTTTCAGATAGACATAACTTTATGAAATATTACGTATAGATATCAAATACAGACTGATATGCATATACTACATGCTTTAGTTTGTTAATAAACATAATATACTGCTTATTTTATAGCCGAACGCATAAATATGAGTATGGTTGTGAATTTGAACAATAGAGAATAGTTACAGTCACCTTCAAGAAAATGTATTTATGAATGGATCGAGGGTATGACTGTGAAGTGTGGTTATCTATTTCAACAACACCCCACACCCACACTCCGCTCTTTGTTTGCTGCGAGCATAAATGATGTATATCATTAATTGTGACAAGTGTTTTGTTTTTCTTTTGTCATAGTTGGTGAGTATTTAAAAAAAGAAAGTTTTATTTAAAAAAAAAAGGTTATTTTTATTTAAATATTTCAATACTTGTCTTATTCAATATGGTTTAATTAATTCATCAGTTAATTTAAATATATTATTCAAAAGTTTTACATTTCAACATTGGATTTATCTAGTTTTATTATCAAGTCAAATTCAAATTGGTTTTTATGGTAATCCATGTATTGATCCTAAAATAATAATTATTAATAAATGGTAGCATTTAACATTTGTTTATAATTCTTTAACATCTAGACAAATGATTTATAAAAATGATATTTCTTATTGCAATCGTACATCATCCTCATGTTTAAAAATAAAAAAATTAACTTTTATTCCTTTTACAATAGATGATACATCTCCAGCAAGTTCATCATATTTTGATGACCTTATTGAACCATTATCATTAATTGATTGAGCGAAAAGCACCAGGAAAATTCTAAATGATGTAACACTTGTTGTTTCGTATTGTTTTAATAATAATTCATTTAGAGATTCTGGATGGGATGGCATTTTCACTTCTTACTTTGTAAAATGAAAGACAAGTAAAAGTTTTTTTTTCTTTTTTTTGAAAAAAAGTGAAAGTGCCATCCTTGCTCATTATTTTCAGTGGTTCAATGCTTTTTTCTTCTTTATTTTCGATGAAGATTTTCATTTTTGACAAAAGCAAGAGTTCTACTGAATAAACATCCTCTTCAAACAACACTTTTTAAAGGCATGTTGCATACTATGCAGCATCTTAATTGCAATCAAAATGTCTTCGTAGTTTATTCTCACAACTTATATGCTTTTTGAAGTAAGTAAACTGTTAGTTCATAAAGACAAAAGTCGCATCAGACTAGAAATCGACACATTGAGTTTTTTGAGACTTTGATTTTTGATATATGAATGTAAGGATGTGCTGAACTGATCTTATATCCTAGATCTTATTATTTTACTAGCGGAAGTACTAGACATTGATCGAGGAAATTCAACAAATCATTTATGATAGGAGCGTGGCTCTGAGTAAAGAGAAAACTGGTACCCGGATCGAGATCCATATCCACACCTTTTACAGCAATATTTTCTATGCTATAAACATGAACTATTTTGTGAACTCTGGATTGAAAACTAATATTGATGTTGCTATTTATCTTTCAAGAATTGAACATACATTTAAAAATGTATTGCAAAACCATTTGTCAATAGAGATTCCGTGCAAACAAAGTCAACATTTTGGCGAAAGAGTAAAATCAATTTATGAAAAAGTAATTTATGCAAAGACGCTTTTACCGAGATAAAAAGTTATTTATTACTTGCAGGAATCGAAATAACATAAATGAAAGTATTGTCTATGTGTTCAATTTACCAAAAAATATTGAGTTTTTATGAAGGGTGGGGTGTGAGGGTGTGAGTGTGGGTGTGGGTGGGTGTGGGTGTGGGTGTGGGTGGGATGTGGGGCGGGGTGGGTGTGGGTGTGAGTGGGTGTGGGTGTGGGTGCGGGTGTGTGGGTGTGGGTGTGGGTGGGTGTGGGTGTGGGGTGTGGGTGTGGGGTATGGGTGTGGGTGGGTGTGGGAGTAGATGCGGCTCTTCTTCTCATTCTCGCAAACCCACACCCACACACCCATCCACACCCTCAGCCACCCACACCCACACCCACCCCGCACAGAACTAATTGTATCATGTAAGCCTTTTATTGTTGTGGAGTTTACTTCCGTGGGATAATGTCATACTCGAGATGAAAATTTACTTTGCGAAATGAGTTACTAGTATATCTTTATCAGAATTCTACTATCAATGACACTCGAGTTATAGAATACGCTAAAATGCATATGACCACTACTTTTCTGTTTGTTCTTTGAATGTAGTATTTCATAATTTTATTTAGACACACACACATAAAAAAAAAGAATTGCTCTTGGCCGGACTCGAACCAACAATCCTCCGGTTAAAAGCCGGAAGCGTTAACATTTACGTCACAAGAGCACAGTTGTCGAAAGACAGTTGTAGTTACTATTTTCGCTTGATTCACTTCTGATAAACCTTTCGATTCATTTCCGATTGAGCTTTGACACGAATAAACACTGGTCATACGATACAGTTCATCAAGTCTTCGTAGCTAATTACATGAAACACATTGTAATATTGGTCAACTTTCGATCTTGAAAGTGATGTGCGCATCTGAATGTTTAGATAAATATATGTGGAGGTATATATCAAGTGGTCTCTTCAAAATCCAAAACCGGATGCAAAGCAATTCGAAGTTCTATGAGCACTTGTACTCTTGGGGCATAACTGCTAACGCTTCCGGCTTTTAACCGGAGGATTGTCGGTTTGTTTCTATTCATCAATTGCGATACTCAACTGTTCTACTCACGATCATGCAGTAAAATGCCATCATACGTCACCATCATCATAATTATTGAATACGTTCGTCGAGTCCGACCAACAGCAATTTGTCATTATTTTTAACGTGATGCTATGGACATGAAATTATGCAATACCTTATTTAGACAATGGCTGTACCCACACAAAACTGACTGTATTATGAGAGTATTTTATTATTGTGCAGTGTATTTCCATGGAATTTCTTCATGCTCGAGAAAAAAGTTTGTGAAATAAGTCATTAGTATATCTTTGTCAGAATTCTACTGTCAACAATACTCAAGTAATAAAAAACACTGAAATGTACTATATGACGGTATTACTTTCTCTGCTCGTTCTCTGAATGAAGTATTTCATACTTTTAATTCGACAAAGTCAAATTACCAAAAATAATGAAGAAGTGCTCTTGGCCGGACTCGAACCGGCAATGCTCCAGTTAAAGGTTGGGAACGTTAAAATTTACGCTTCAAGAGCATAAGTGTCAGAAAACAGTTGTCGTTACTATTCACGTTGCATTCACTTTCATAAATCTTTGACTTTGGTTTAGATCAAACTTTGACACGAAGAGACATTAAACATAGAATAAATTTCATCAAGCCTTCGCATCTAGGGTGTGGGTTGGCGTAGGTTGAGTCCTCGTTTAATTTACACCTACACCCACACCCACACCCTTTGCAACATTGCATTTAACTAAGGATATAAATTTTCTTGTTCTTGTTGTTCTTGGCCTTCCTGATCTTCTTCTTGAAGTTATTGTACCTCTGTTAATTGTATAATTTATATAATGGACAAGTGCGTGTCTTGTTTGAACTGGTGAACAATGACTGTTTTGTAATTCATCAGCAATATTACTTGATGACCATTTTCTGTACAAATCATGTAAAGTTGAAAGTTATTCTCTTAGCTTTTTATATTTTTCGGCCATTAATACTTTGTAAAAGGGATCAAATTGAATAAAGCATTAAATAATGAAATGTTGAAAATAAATTTCGAAACAGAAATCGAAAAAAAATAATTAAAAACGGATGATGAACAATATCCATACATTTATAAATAGCCAATCAAAGTTTAAGACATTTAATTAAATACACTATAGACATCTAATTAATCTTGTATATTAAAGAGATATTAGAAGAAAATGAATTTGAAAAGGCAACAATATTGAAAAGAAGAGTTGTAACGATCTGGAACACCATCACTCCACAAATGTGCTCAAATTGGATGAATCCAATACCAAGAAGATTACAATGTTTGATCAAAAAAAGTAAGGTTATTCGATTTAAAAAGAAGACTATAACAACATATGAAAATATAAATTTTTGTATTATTGGCTATTGTATTTATTATGAAAAATATTTATTCTAGATGTTTTTATAATAAAAAATTGATTGCGGCCTGAGTAAAAAAGCTTCTGTATTGTTCGAGCTTATATATCTTTCTTATAATTAGAGCTAAAGTTATAAAAATTTGGGATAGTGTTCATCTAGTTGTCAGAGATTATATGTCCAAGTTTGAGCATTTTTGGATTCGCTACAACGGCGAAAAAGAACCTTTTCTATGAAGTATCAAGATTTTTGAATCATCCTGTATGTGACCAATAAAGACAAATCTATAATAGATATTTAAGTTGTTGTTTAGCAACCTAAATTTAACTTGTGTCCTTTTTTTCTATTTAGAACTAGGATTTTATTCCTCATTTCAATGCATGTATAGTTTATAACCGTATCATTTTAATAATCATACGAATAGCTTTCATATACTAAATACGTCAAGCGTGAATAGTCATATAATTGTACAAAAGCGCACGTGAATTGAATAAAAAAGGAAGGAAGAAAGAAATCAAAAAGGTGTAGTTACTTGTTTTAGTGGGAGTGTTTTTTTTCAAATAACGAACACAAATTTAAACATAGGCCGAGCTTGCATCAGTCGATATATGAGTAACTAATTATTATTGATAAATCTCCAATATATGCTCTATCGTATGCGATGACAGAAAGAAGATAACCATGAATCGCTAGTATAACGTATGGTCTGTTGAATAATAAACAGACTGTCGATTGCTATCAATCAAGCTTTTCAAATCAAATAAACAGAACTAGTAAGATGACGAGCATAATAATATAAAAATAGATACTGCACTTATTAAACCATATGCTCTATTAACGTATGTGTTGGCGTAAATGCGCACAAACTAAAATCATTTTTTGATGCATATATATAGGAAGTACAGTGGTTTAATCTTACTCATAGAACGACATCAATATATTATACTCTTATTCTGCTGGTCTACAAAGAAAAATTTCTTCATAAATACGAAAAACTAAGGTATGTTTTTTTTATAATAAAGTCTAGTCACTTCTTTTGATCTTCATTCAGAACAGCTAATCTTGTGCTAGCGTTCATGTTCACAAGAAGCAACAAAGAAAGCTAAAAAAGAGTGTTGATATATATATATAAGTACATACTAATATGAAATCAAGCACGAAACTAGATAAGAATTCAAACATTAAGTGAAGTCAAACAAACAAAATAATAATGTTAAAGGAAACAGACAAACAAAAGAAATGAAGAAAGGAAAGAGTGTAAGAACGATAATGCATGAGAAGTGTTATTACAATGCATTCTAACATCATCTTTTACTATAGAAAACAAATGTGTTTTATCAACATGTTGGAAAAATATAGAAATAAACATGAAATGCATGAATTGAAAAATGACTTATAAGCAAACGCATTAAGCAGAGCACTGCATCGAATGTTTTCTGTAGAAATTTTTGACGTTCAGAGAGATACTTATGTGCTTATATCAGAGATGTGATCTTTCTTAACTATTATTTTCTTGTAGATTGAAATGACTTCTACGTATAATAATACTGAAACGGCTAATCGTTCACGTCGTAATCAAACGTTGTTCATCGATCCAAACCAGAACATAGATTTAGTTTCAGACGAAAGAAATGTACGAGAAGTTTACGATTATCATATTAATCGAATCAAAACTTACACGACTCGACAAACTATGTATGGTTCTTTTTTCTTTTGATATTGGATATAATCTTTGTTGGACTTTTCTAGAAAATATTGTTACTTATTAGTGCGAGATTTCATTACCAAACCTGCTTGTGTATTGCCTACGATTACAAGTATAGCTATGACCATTGGTATAATAATAATTTGTTTTACTGTACCAAAACAACAAGGTAATTCATTCTGCTTTTATATTCTTATCTAACATGAGAGCACACAACAAAATATATCGTTAGATGAAGTGTGAAAAGCTCTACAGTTTACCAAAAAAAAAATTATTTTATGTACGCATCTTTTGTTTTCACACTGCTTCTTCTATCATGTTTTGTTTTTTTCTTCAATACAACTTATTAAGTGATTGAAAATTACATGTAAAATGTGATGATTCAATCTGCTCTACCCGGTAAAACAGAAATAGTGAGCACCAATCGATTCCAGGAATACTAGAATATAACCTATTGACAAGTAACAAAAGACAACATCGTTCAGTTCTTAGTGAGGAAATTCTTCTTTTTAAGAACATTACATATTTCTTACAAAATCTTCGAAAAAGTTAGTAAAGCTAAGTATCAAAGATATTCTTGTTGTCCAATTTTGTACTAATTTGGGAACCATCATCTTCATCTAAACACTGAATTTGATAGAGAAAAATTTACGAGTTACAAAAGACTGAATTCTCTACTATTCAGATCGACCATGTCAACATATCTTTAAGACAACTGCAAGAAGTTCAAGTGGCTATAATTCACGTCCACCATCAGCAGCCATTGGCAATTTAAATAATGATAGTCAGTTAGATATTGTTGTAGCTAATTCTGGAACAGACACTGTTGGTATCTTTCTCGGTTATAATAATGGAATCTTTCAGGCACAAAAGACCTATTCAACTGGCTCTAAATCACAACCATATTCAGTAGTATTAGGTGATTTTACGGATGACAATAAATTAGATATAGTTGCTCTTAACTATGGTACCAACAGTATGGGTTTACTGGTTGGACATGGTGATGGAACATTTGAAGATATTCGTCTTTATTCACTGGGTACTTCTCGACCAGTGTCTGCTACTGTTGCTGATTTAAACAATGATATGTATCTTGATATAATCATTGCAAATTATGATACTAGTACCATAGGCATCTTACTTGGATATGGTAATGGATCTTTTTCTATGCAAGTAAAATATTCAACTGGTTATGATTCTCTTCCATGTTACATTGTTGTTGCTGATTTGGATAAAGATAATCACTTAGATCTTATTATCTCAAACTCAGGTACTAACAATGTAGCTATATTTCTTGGACATGGTAATGGATCTTTCTCATTCTCATATCTATATTCAACTGGAGTTGATTCACATCCAGTCACAGTTGCTGTTGGTGATTTAAATGGCGATGATCGACTGGATATTGTGGTTGCCAATTATGGATCTTCTACTGTAGGTGCATTTCTTAATTATGCTAATGGAACATTTTCGAAGATGAAAATATCTGTAATTGACTCTATAGTTCATGCGCACTCTATAGTCATTGGAGACTTCAATAGAGACAAAATATTAGATGTGGCCGTAGCCAATACAGGCAATGATAGTGTTGTTGTACTTCGTGGATCAGATAATGGAACATTTGTAAGTCAGGAGACGTACTCTACTGGTATTGGTTCTACTCCTGTCTTTTTGCTGGTTGATGATTTTAACAACGACAATGAATTAGATCTCATCACGGTTAATAATGGCACCAACAATATAGCTATATTTCTTAGATATAGCATTAAAGCATTTTCGAACCAAACCATGTATTCAACCGGTTATCTCACTGTGCCTATATCATTGGCTCTTGGTGATTTTAACAATGATGGTCTGCTCGATATCGCTGTTGCTAATTCAAGAGGCTCTAACGTAGGTGTAGGCATATTCCTCGGATACAACAATGGATCTTTTGGTGCACAAACAATGTTTTCCATGGGAAGTGTTTCATATCCTTTATCGATTGCTGTAGGTGACTTTAATAATGACAGTTTACTTGATATTGTTGTTGCCGACTACGGTACTAATAATATAGACATTTTTCTTGGGCATGGCAATGGATCTTTTGCTACGCAAATGGTATTTTCAACCGGGACTGGTTCTGGTCCTTCAGCAGTCGTTGTGGACGATTTTAACAAGGACACTTTACTCGATGTCGTCGTTGCAAATACCTATGCGGATAATGTGGGTATATTTCTTGGATATGGCAATGGAACCTTTATATCACAAAAGACAATTTCAACTGGAATTGGTTCGAGTCCTTCTGCGATCGCTATCGGCGATTTTAACAATGACGATCTACTTGATATCGCCGTCACCCATGCTAGTACTAGTAATTTAGGTATATATCTTGGCTATGGAAATTGGACATTTGTAGGACAAACGGTATATTCAGTAGGACATGGCACTTCTTTTTTCTCAGTCGCTGTAAGTGATTTTAATAACGACACTATGCTAGATATCGTTGTTTCCAACTATCTGGATGACACTATAACTATACTTTGTGGATACGGAAATGGAAGTTTCGATAAAATGCTAACATATTTCATTGGATATGGTTCTCGTCCGACTTCACTTGCGCTTGGTGACTTTAATAACGATAATATACTAGATATTGCTTTCTCAAATGCTGGTATTAATAAAATAGGAGTGCTTTTTGGACATGCTAATGGAACTTTTGGGATGTTGACATTTTATCCAACAGGTGATGGGTCTCGTCCATTCCCGATCATGGTTGGTAATTTTAATCATGACATGTGGTTGGATATTGTAGTGGGAAATATTAATGCTGCTAGTGTGGGTGTGTTTCTTGGTCTTGATAACATATATGCAGCTAATCAAGCGACCTATTCAACCGGTTCTGGCTCACATCCATGTACCGTACTAGTCAATGATGTCAATAACGATCATCTATTTGATCTTATCATCGTCAATTCAGCACATGACAATATTGGTATTCGTTCAGGATATGGAAATGGAAGTTTCACCGAAGAAAGAACATATCCTGTAGAAAAAGGTTCTCGTCCACAATTTGTTGTTGTAGGAGATTTCAACAGTGACTCTCATATGGATATGGCCATTACCAATACCGGAAACGATAGTGTCACTGTTGCTTTTGGAAATGGCAATGGAATTTTCACAAATCAAACGGTACATTCTACTGGATATGGCTCACATCCATCATTTGCTACAGTTGGTGATTTTAATAATGACAATCGACTGGACCTTGTTATTTTGAATGAGGGCACTCATACTGTTGGAGTTTTTCTTTCTTTCGAGTATGCCACATTTAGAAAGCACAGTTCTTCTTCAACTGGAACGAATTCTAATCCGGAAGCCATCGCTGCTGGCGATTTCAATAACGACAGCCTGTTGGATGTAGTGGTCGCAAATTCTAATACAAATAATATAGGCATATTCCTCGGATATGGCAATGGGACGTTTGCACCACAAAAAACTTTTTCAACTGAGAGTGGTTCGACTCCATTTGCAGTTGTTTTAGGCGACTTTAACAATGACAGTTTACTCGATGTCGCTGTTGCTAATTCCGGTACTAATTATGTCAGTATATTTCTCGGATATGGTAATGGAACATTTACATCACAAAAAACATTTTCAACCGGAAATGATTCTCTTCCTAGGTCGATCGTTATAGGTGACTTTAACAACGACAATCTACTCGATATTGCCGTCGCCAATTCCTATAAAGATAATATAGGTATCTTCCTCGGCTATGGTGATGGAACTTTTGCAACACAAAGGACATTTTCAACGGGCAATAGTTCTCTTCCCTACTCGATAGCTGTAGGTGATTTTAACAATGATAGTCTTCTCGATGTTGCTGTCGCCAGTTTCAGAACTAATTATGTTAACATCTTTCTTGGGTATGGAAATGGAAGTTTTATATCACAAAAACAATTGTCGACTGGAAGTGGTTCAAGTCCTTTCGCAGTGGCTGTAAGTGACTTTAATAACGACAGGTTCCTCGATATCGCCGTTGTCAATTCGAATACTAGCACTTTAGGCATATTTCTCGGATATGGCAATGGAACATTTACATCGCAAATGGTATATTCAACTGGAAATGGTTCTATTCCGAGAATGCTTACAATCAGTGACTTGAACAACGACAATAGGCTGGACATTGCTGTGGTCAATTTTGGTGCAAATAATGTGGGTATTTTCTTCGGATATGGTGATGGAACTTTTACTGAACAGATGACATTTGCAACTGGAAGTGGTTCTCTACCGATTGCGGTCACCATCGGAGATTTTAACAACGACAACAGATCTGACATCGTGGTAGTCAATCGTGCTGGTTACAATGTTATGGTGCTTGTTCGAGATGGTAGTCAACCTTTTCTTACCATGAAGACCTATTCAACTAGTGATGGCTCTCATCCAAAATCTATGGCTACTGCAGACTTCAACAAAGATTATTATCTCGACATTATTGTTGCTAATACTGATAAGAATAATATAGGTATACTAATGGGATATGGTAATGGAACCTTTATGAAACAAACAACATTACAAACAGGAAATCGTTCTCAACCATGCTCAGTTGCCGTCGGTGATTTCAATAATGATAACTTACTAGATATCGCTGTTGCTAATTCTGGTACGAATAATGTCGGTATATTCCTCGGATATGAAAATGAAACATTTTCATCTGTAACTACTTATTCAACTGGAGATTCTTCGATTCCATACTCGATTGCTGTCAGTGATTTCAACAATGATAATTGCCTTGATGTCACTGTTGCCAATCTAGGCTCTACAGATATACTTATTTTATTTGGAGATTGTCATGGAAGCTTTGGAAAGGCACAGTCTTATTTATTAGGTTATGGTTCTCAATTGTATTCAGTAGCTGTTGGTGATTTCGATCGAGATAATTGGACTGATATTGCTGTTGCAAATTATGGTCGTGATGAAGTGGAAGTTCTTTTGCAACCATGTAGTAAAACCTAACTTATCGTGAATTTCTCTGGTTTTTTCTATGAGTAATTCTCATGTAAATTATTTTTGAATGTTTCATAGAATTTTTTATCTATTGCTAACATCATATTAACTAAAGACCTAGTCTTACATATCGAATCGGTTTTCTTTGAAAAATTCTCTCAAAAATAAGGCACACTGCAAGCATGCTAAAGAATTTCATCGAATAATTCTAACTTAAATAGTGTTTCATAATAATTGGATGAAAAAGTAGATACAAGAACTACTCATAATATTCACACTTTCTGTAAGGAGACACAGTAAATATTAGTAATATGATCGGTGTGCTATCATGAGTAAATGAATTTTATGATACGTTGATTGATTGTTAATTCTTAGAAATCTGAAGAAGAATTTTTGTGAACTTTGTTCGTTATCAAGAATTTTATCATCAATATTGTATATAGATCTATCAAAGACCAGATCGAACTATTTCTTAAAGAAAAGACAAGTTCACTGGAATTGCTGAAATATTCCGGCGCCGCTGTTATCGACGCCTTTTTTACTTTTTGTTAAAAAATGAATGATCATCGAGCTTTTGCATTGCAACACCACACTTCAGTTACCTTTTGATACAAGAACAAAATTGGATGTGGATGTAGAATATGAATGCTGGTCTATTGTTTTATAGGTGATTCTAAAGTTGATTAATGGATCCATACACACAACATACCATGTTTGATTCAATTCATTTGATGCGTTTTCATCACTTGAAATTTTCAGGGGATTGTTATCTGTTAATCTGCTATTGTCTTTTAATAGTTATTATCTGTTAATTTATTTCAGTTTATTATTACCTGTAAATCAATTTTAATCGATAATCACTTCTTGATTGATTTTGATCGTATGCACCAAGAATGTGAACTTCTCTCGAATACAAAAATTTTTTCAAATTGGGATGATGCAATTAGATTACAAGTTGATAAAAAAATTAAGTCAGATTTTAATTAACAAAACTTTTTGAATCGATTTTAATTAACTCTATGCATAGCATATGTGTTATATATATATATATGTCGTAGGACAAATTAAAATCTAGTTCAGTTTTAAATCGAACTAGGACAGATTGAAATTTTAATTCTTTCTAGTTCAGATTAAAATTTTGAAGTCAACTAGTTCACTTCACAATCATTTCAATGTCAACTAGTTAACTTCAAAATTTTAATCTGAACTAGGAAGAATTAAAATTTTTAGTCAAACTATTCGTGGCTGTCTGGTTGAAGATACGTGTCGGGGTGAGGGCAAGGGTGTATGGTAAATGATG